TTTCTATGAGTAGAATATGAATGTTTTGCCATAATAACTAAGAAAGTTACATGAAGGCTATGTTAACCAGTTTGATGGAAATGTCATGGATTGTGTGTGAAAACACCACACTGTACCCCCAAAGTGCATCAATGTACACAGTTACCATTCAATAAAATAAAAACAAACAAACAAACAAAAAAAAACTAAGAAATGGAATCTTACTAGAACCCTGGGGGTTCCCATGCTTCTTTTAGTCACTACCCTGGCTTCAAGATTCTAACTCTGGGCTCTGCGCCTGTGGCTCAAGAGGCTAAGGCGCCAGCCATATACACCTAAGGTGGCGGGTTCAAATCCAGCCTGGGCCCACCAAACAATGACGACAGGCATTGTGGCGGGCGCCTGTGGTCCCAGCTACTTGGGAGGCTGAGGCAGGAGACCCGCTTGAGCCCAGAAGTTGGAGGTTGCTGTGAGCTGCGATGCTACGGCACTCTACCCAGGGGGACGGCTTGAGGCTCTGTCTCAAAAAAAAAAAAATGATTCTAACTCTGTACCTGAGATTTTTTCCTGCTTTGAACTTTATAAATTGGAAGCATATATGGTGTATTCTTTTTGTGTTTGGCTTCTGTTGTTCAACATTATTTTTGTGAAATCTGCTCACCTGGTTGCATGTGGTTATAGCTTGTTCAGTTTCATTGGTGTATAGCAGGGGTCCTCAAACTTTTTAAACAGGGGGCCAGTTCACTGTCCCTCAGACCATTGGAGGGCTGGACTGCAGGCCCCGGGACGAGTTGGCTGCTAAGCAGGACAGGCAGTGGCAGCAAAAATACCCAGCGGGCCGGGTAAATGTCCTCGGTGGGCCGCACGTGGCCCGTGGGCCGTAGTTTTAGGATGCCTGGTATATAGCATTCCGTTTTATGAAAATACTGGAGTCTCAGCACTTGTAGTCTCCCATCCTCCTGGGACCAGTGGACTAGTCCGAGAATGTTTTTCCCATTGTATCAGCAGGGCACAAAAGAGTATGAGTAAGAGAAATACAAGCATATTCAAGATTCCATTTGTGTCACTTTTTTTTTTTTAGAGACAGAGTCTCACTTTGTCACCTGTGGTAGAGTACCATGGTGTCACAGCGCACAGCAACCTCTAGCTCTTGGGCTTAGGCGATTCTCTTGTCTCAGTCTCCCGAGTAGCTTGGACTACAGGTGCCTGCCACAACACCCAGACATTTTTTTGTTGCAGTTTGGCTGGGCCGGGCTCGAACCCGCCCTCCTTGGTGTATGGGGCTGGCATCTTACTCACTGAGCCACAGGTGCTGCCCCCGTTTGTGTCACGTTTATACATGCCCTTGGCCAAAGTATAAAGTCAAGGGGCAGAGATTAACATTTTCAATATTATCTTTAGCGTTTATTTCTTAAATATGTTGTATGTTTTTATTCCCCTTTGAAGTAGTTCCTTTCAACTTAAGTAAATAGTAAATTGGTTTAGCAGTCTGAGATAAGGGTGACAGCACGGTCAGGTTCTTGGTGAGGGTCTTCTTACGAGTGTGTCTCCATGTGGCCTTTCCTACACGCATGGAGGAGAGGAGAAAGATTCATCCCTCTTGCTCCTTTTGTGAGGGCGTTAATCTCACAAGAGGCTCCACCGACATGACTTCATCTAAACCTAATTACTCCCCAAAGGCCTCACATCGGGGATTAGGATGTCAACATGGGAATTTGGGGGAGACACAAACATTCAGTCCATGGACCCTCTTTCCTAGTTGACTCACAGTCTTGTACTGTATTCATGTTGACGTGCAGCTTGTCCTCAGTCAGTCATGGAAGAGCCCGAATGTAATTCCTCATTGTGTGTTCCCTTCACATATTACACAATTGAGATAGGAAAATGATTAAAATGCAAATCTAGGGCCAGGCGTGGTGGCTCATGCCTGTAATCATAGCATTCTGGGAGGCCAAGGCAGGTGGGTTGCTTAAGCTCAGGAGTTTGAGGCCAGCCTAAGCAAGAGCAAGACCCTATCTATACTAAAAATAGAAAAACTGACTGGGCGTTGTGGCAAGCACCTATAGTCTCAGCTGCTAGGGAACCTGAGCCATGAGGATAGCTTGAGCCCAAAAGTTTGAGGTTGCCATGGGCTATAATGACTCTATAGCATTCAACTCTGGGGCAACAGCGTGAGATTCTATCTCAAAAAAAAAAAAAAAGCAAATCTGATTGTAGTGTCCCCTCTACCCCAAATCCTCAGAATATATTTAAGCAGTACATTCATTCATAAGAATAGACAGGCAGTGATGTGATGCCGAGTGAGTATGGTTTACAAGGGTGGCATAGTAGTGATGACTTCAGATGGGCCATTAGAGACCTAAGGAGCCACAGAACCTGAGAAGATGCTGTGGGGAGGATTGGGGGTGGTGGAATGGAGATGGACAGAGTAAATGGAAACAGATACTAGAAAGTTAGGGCACATGCAAACCATGACAATGAGAAGGTGAGCCAGAACCTAGTTAATGTCAGACGTGTTGTGTGAGGGTTTTTTAGAGTGTAAGAACAGAGACGTGGTCAGGTTAATGATGGGGTTTATGAAAAGGCCAGGCAGGAAACCACCTCCACAGTTGCCCCAGTAATCTCCGGCAGCTCTGTAGCTCAGCAGGAGCTCCAGCTCTGGTCTTCTGTGTAACTCCATTTCTTTTCCTTTTCTTTCTTTCTTTTCTTTCTTTTCTTTCTTTCTTTCTTTTCTTTCTTTCTTTCTTTTCTTTCTTTCCTTCCTTTCTTTCTCTCTCTCTCTCTCCTTCTCCCTCTCTCTCCCTCTCTCTCTCTCTCTCTCTTTCTTTCTTTCTTTCTTTCGACAGAGTCTTACTCTGTTGCCCTGGCTAGAGTGCTGTGGTGTTAGAGCTCACGGCAACTTCAAACTCTCGGGCTCAAGTGATCCTCCTGCCTCAACCTCCTATATAGATGGGACTACAGGTGTCAGTCAGAATGCCTGGCTAGTTTTTTCTATTTTTAGTAGAGTCGGGGTCTTGCTCTTGCTCAGGCTGGTCTCAAACTCCTGAGCTCAAGAAATCTATCCACCTTGGCCTCCCAAGGCATGAGCCACTGTGCCTGGCCTGTAACTTTTATTTCTTACTGTTTGTCTTTAGGTGTTACTGACTGCTGGGTATATCTAGGGTGCAGACCCTTCAGGAAGGCACCTGAAGGGCTGGAGGCAGTTACTCACCTCTGGTGCTGTTGAGCAGAGAACTGAGGTGTTAGACCCTGGAGCCTGGTCCAGGCAGCCATGACCAGGGGCTGGGGGAAGGCTGATGGTCACATGAACCAAGGCATGGAGGCTTATACATAGGAAGGGGCTGCTTTGCTCAGAAGGGGATAGTACAACTTTCAGGCACCTTGAGGTTTTACAGCCTGACCAATATATGTGGAGTTAAAAAAATAAAAAAGATAAACAAAGCTGAGGTCCGTTTCCTCTTGTGGCTCCTTGAGCTTCGTCTGGTCAGGCTCCTTCCAGGCCCATTGAGCAAATGCTGTTCTCCGTGGGAAATGTTTGCCATGGTGGCACAAAATTGTTACAGTGTTGCACACACCTGGTACACCAGATTTCTATTCCTTTCCAGTGTTTTACCTCCAGGGAGCCAGGACAGCCCCTGAGTTTACGCAGCAGTAGGAAAAAGGCCTTGGCTGCGAGCTTGATTCAATGCCATGCTCTTGATTTTTTTTTATTAGATCATAACTGTGTACATTTCTGCGTTTATGGGGTACAATGTACTGACTCTATATACAATCTAGAATTTTCACATGCTCTTGATTTTTAAGAGAATTCACCCTCCTTCTGGAATTTGGAGAAGGAAAAGATACAGAGCAAATCTGAAGAGTTAGTCTAGCCCTGACCTTTGCTCTTTTCCATGGTCACCAGGGCAGCCTGCACTTCCTACTTACAGATGGGTCATTCCTACCACGAGGAAATGCTCTTCTGTATTACTTTACTTGCTTTCACAGCTAATAGGCGAGTGATACGATTCTGTGGTTATAGTTCATGACTAAGAGAGGTTATAGTTCATGAGTAAGTTAGCCTTTAAATAACAGAAGCTATCACAGTGCTCCCTGTGTGCTAGTGTTCGAACTGCTTTGCCTGTCTCAGCTCACGTTAGCCTCTCTACAGTTAATGAGATAGTGCTGTTATTACCTGCGTCCTTTGGTTATTGCAGGAGGCCAGAGCAAGCTCATTTTCAAACCAGATCTCACTTGGGAAGAGGTGCAGGCAGAAAATCCCAAAGTGCAGAGGGGCCGGTATCACCCCGAGGAATGCGAGGCTTTGCAGCGGGTGGCCATCCTCATCCCACACCGGAACAGAGAGAAACACCTGATGTACCTGCTGGAGCATCTGCATCCCTTCCTGCAGAGGCAGCAGCTGGACTACGGCATCTACATCATCCACCAGGTGAGTTGGCGGGGCGGGGGGTGAAGGGTCCTGCCCTCTAGCTCCTCCTTTCTGGGAGGGACCTGGCCAGGTGGCCATTTGTCTGGCTTAGGCAAAGGAACAACAGAGTATCATCCAAGGAGAGTTCTCTTACCTCATTTATCCCTGAAAGGAGTGGAGAAAATTCTTGTCCCAGAGTGTGGAGTTATGGGACCAAGTTGTGGGCAGTTTCGCTGCCCTTGCATGGACCCCAGGAGGAAGCCTGTTTTCTCTGAGCCCTTCCGTGTTAGTCAGTGACTGCCCGAGGATTTTCTCTGGAGAGTTACTGACTCCCTGTGTCTCCCTCTGCATCTGCTAAACACCACATGATGAGATGCTGGAATTGCTTTTCGTTATTGACTATAGCTATTTTAATGGGGACCTGGACAGAGGGTTTGACAGAATAATCTGTTAATAGCCTTGACTATATCCACATTTCTGCCTTTAACTTTGACAGTGTTTTTTTATGTAAAACATGTTAAGTTTAATTTTTACTTTCTTGATCTACTTATTTGGCTTCCAGAATCAGGATTTAGTAGGGACAATGTTACTGTAGGCTGCTTTGGAAGAATTTAGCTCTAAGATCGATGGAATGGGTGATTAAAGATGCCCCTATTTGGTATTAAATTTATCAAAAGAGAACTAAGACATCAGTTTAAACATCTGTGTCTAAACTATTCAGATTATCCTGGGCCAGGGAAATAATCTCCCCTCAATTTATTACAGAATCTAAGAATGCAAGCAAATATTATCAACTGCGGGCATGGTGGCTCTTGCCTGTAATCCTGCACTCTGGGAGGCTGAGGCAGGTAGATTGCCTGAGCTCACAGGTTTGAGACCAGCCTGAGCCAGAGCAAGAACCCCTGCCTCTAAAAATAGCTGGGCATTGTGGCGGGTGCCTGTAGTCCTAGCTACTCAGGAGGCTGAGGCAAGAGAGTTGCTTGAACCCAAGAGTTTGAGGTTGCTGTGAGCTATGACTTCATAGCACTCTATAGAGGGTGACAAAGTAAGACCGACTGTTTCAAAAAAACCCCTAAAAAACAAGTATCATCAACTACTTATATAGTATTGACTATGATTGGTAATGTTTGTTTTAGGTAGAATTTTTGATAACTGAGAGGATCAGCTCTGCCATTATTTTTATAATAAATTGGGGACTCTTAAAAATCAATGTGCTTTTGAATCTGTGTCCATTTTTTAGTGCTTGTAACGAAATTTTACTTTATATTCTTTCATGATTATTTTTGTTTTTAACATTGTTGGCCATGGGTTTGATTTATTTGATTTGAATTCTTACTCAGGACAGGAAGGTCCTACAAGGTATAATACTATTTGTTATGAGTAGAAAAATATTTCTACTGTATGTTATTCTTTTCAGGAAAACACTGTGTTAGCTTCTGAAAACTACTTGTACTTTTACGATGATAAACTATTAATTGAACTAGAATTAGTTCTTCTGGAATTTGACCCATGCAAGCATGAGAAAGGTAGTACTATAGATTTGTTTTCATAGGTCAGCTTTGATCACACTGTGCTGTTCCCCGACCCTGGGGCAAATCTCCATCTGTCAGGCCATGTGACGATTGTCCTCTGCCATTAGTGTTAGAACAGGATTTTCTTGCCGTGATCACCAAGCAACTTGAAGTAGCTTAAAAATATTAGCAATAACCTTTTTGGTTTATAATTCAAGATTTCTTGATCCTTTCTGTTGGCTGTTAACTAAACCTTTTGGAGGCTTAGTATAAATTTGTAACAGAGGGTAAGATTGGGATCAGCTAAGAGCTGAACAGCAAAGCAGTAATACTGCTTAGGATGTCTGTAAGAAAGATTTTATAGTTTTATGTGGAATATAAAAGTACTTTTGAAATTTTGAGTTTAAAAGAATTTTTTTTAATTGTGGTAAGAACACTTAACATGAGAGCTATCATCTTGATAAATTTTAAGTGTATACTATATTATTCTTTTTTATACTACTTTATTTTTAATTATTCAAGTTATTTTTGTGTTTCCAAAGTGTTGTACTTTTTTTTTCTTTTATGGAGACAGAGGCCTAGAGGGCCTACAGTGTTGTGGTGTCACCTTAGCCCACAGCAGCCTCAAACTCTTGGGTCTAACCTGGCCTCCTCCCTCAGCTTCCTGAATAGCTGGGACTATAGGTCCCCACGGCAATGCTGGCTAATTTTCCTATTTTTTTGAGATTGGGGTCTCCCTCTTGCTCAGGCTGGTCTCAAACTCGAAAGCTCAAGTAATTCTTCTGCTTCGGCCTTCCAGAGTGCCAGGATTATAGCTGTGAGCAACTGCGCCTAGCCTGTTGTCATGTTTTTTAATTGTGGCAAAGTACACATAACAAAGTTTACCATGTTTGGCATTTTTTTCACTTTCATTTATTTTTACTTTCTTAGCCATTTTTAACTGTACGGTTCAGTAGTGTTATGAATATTCACACTGTTGTGCATCCAATCTCCAGAACTTTTTAATCTTGCAAAACCAAAACCATAAGCCAGCAGTCCCCACGCATTTTGGCACTGGGAACCAGATTCATGGAAAACAGTTTTTCCATGGACAGGGTATGGAGGGAAGGGAGACATTAGAGTCTCATAAGGAGTGCACAACTAGGTCCCTTGCATGTGCAGCTTACGCTCCTGTGAGAATCTGATGCTATCCCTGATGTGACAGGAAGCAGAACTCAGGTGGTGATCTGAGCAATGGGAGGGACTGTCAGTACAGACGAAACTGTGTGGCCTGGTTCCTAACAGGCTGCAGACCCGTATCCCCAGGCATTGGGGATTGTAGCTCTATACCATTAAACTACAGCTCTCCAAATTTCAAGGAATGTTTTATAAGTTATGGAATACAACTATGTGTGAAGCATGAAGGAAACAAAATAGTCTTTTATGATCATTGCATTCACTGTCAGATCTTTATATCACAAGTCTAATCTCAGGTGTTAGCAAGAGGAACAGCAATTTCCCAATCGGAACTGAAGAGGGGAACAAAGTGAAATCCTATCTCAGTAGCTTTTCAAGTTTTAATTTTTGTACGTATAGGCTGGAAATAAAAAGTTTAATCGAGCCAAACTGTTGAATGTGGGCTACCTGGAAGCTCTAAAGGAAGAAAATTGGGACTGCTTTATATTCCATGATGTGGACCTGGTGCCCGAGAACGACTTTAACATTTACAAGTGTGAGGATCAGCCCAGACACCTGGTCGTTGGCAGGAACAGTACTGGGTACAGGTAAGGCGGGTCTGCTGGTGGGTTGCTCAGGTTGAGAAGCCTGCCTGTGTGGAGCAAGTACCCAGAGTTCTTAAAAAAAAAAAAGAAATAAGAATGATGGTCCATGATAGATAGCGTCAAGTTCAAGGTAGGAATTAGAGAGTGTACGAAGGCAAACACCATGTAGTAACTTTGGTAGCACCTTCATTTTGTGAAATCGACAGGAGCCTCTTAGCAGAGTTCCAAACTGCATGGCACAGTTTGGGGAGATATGCACGGAGTTCACTGGTATTCTAGAATGTCTGGAAAGAGGGGCAAGTGATTATGCAGGCTTTGTTTAGTCTGGTAAGAAGTTTGGATTTCCTATGGAAGGGGATAGGGAGCTGTTGACACATGGTTACAGCTGGGAATGACAGGAGAAAGCTTGGTGCAGTCTGTCTTTTATGTATTGGTTAGAGCAACAGGAGGGGAGAAGCCACAGCCTGAGTTAGGATGAGGGCGGGGTGGGGGGCAGAGGGCAAGGAGGAAAGCACAGGATTTTTCTGTTTGGTGGGAACTCGATCTTTGGGTCTGCATCTTATTATCTAAGGGCTTTGTTTTCTGGTTTCTTTAAGCCACTTCTGCACTGAAGAAAGCAGGATATCATGGCTGAACACCCTGTACTTTTTTCAGAAGCGTATCACCATCTGTTTGCGTATTATGTAAAATTAATAAGCTGTCACCACCTACAACGCAGAACATCTATTTCTACTTCAGAAACTTGATAACCTTTCCATTGCCCAATTCTTTCTAAACATCATCTTGCCCAGTTCATTTCTAAACAATCACACAGGATTATTTTAAGGACAGGCCTTTTGTTGGGATTCTAGGTTTTATCTTTGTTTAAGCTGGACCACAAGAAAGCTGAGTTCTTGGGCATTCCTAAGTGACTTTGGGAAGTGACTTTGACTTACATACTTTAGTGTCACAGTTTTGGATTTCATCAGATGCTAGTCCAAGAAACAGCCCATGTATGACTCTTGCTGTTTTAGTTTGCTTGTAACTGGTCAGATGTTTCTTTTACCGATAAATATTAGAAAGTCTTTGTCTCTATTGAGCAACTGACAGGTTTTCTTAATGTCAGTCAGATAATTGAGTGTGTCTGCTCTTTTGATCTGGATGCAAGAAGCTCTGAGCCAAATCCATAGCCCTTTTTTAGAAACGGAAAAAAATCTTACTTGCAGAGTTCTAACGTATTTTCTATCCTAGTTTTATGTTCTGATTTAAGTATTTCTCTGGTCCTGGTTTGTCATGTCTGTTTCTAGTTTATTGTATGTATCATGTAAACGGCCTCATCTTTTGTAGCCAGGGAGAGGCACGTATAAGTATAATGTAGGAGTTGCGTCCTTAGCTTTGTGGCTCTGGGCAGAATCCCTGTGTGTGGACAAATTCAGCTTCAGGAAGCTGGGTGTCTGCCCCCTGCTGGCAACTCTGTGTCACTGTGCCACCAAGTTTAAGTCCATACATCCTCCTGCAGGGTCTCACCAACCTCACAAGTGTAAGTAGAAGACATGTTTTCACTTTACACACATGCAGAGGGAAGAAGTTAAAAGAACTTGGCCCAGTGTCTCAGACTGTAATGAAGCCAAAGACTAATCTTGGTTATCACTGTCTGTGGGTCAGTGCTAAAGCTCCCGGCAAGCCTGTGGCAAATTTTACTGTCCAGAATTCCTTTGGCAACTGCCTGCCTTTTGCTGTTGTTTTATGACTCCACTGTTACTTTATGGCTACAGTTCCCCCACCCCTGGGCCTTATAGTCCTTTAAAAATATAAATAAAACTGTACTGGGCTAATGAAATATTTATGCTTTCACAGATAAGAAAAACCCAAAGCAAATACCCTAGACAGTTGCCATCTAATAGGCAACTGAGACACAGTTCCTTACCCTTTCTTTCCAGCTTGTCTTCTCTGCTCCTGCCTTTTCCAGCTAAACTTGTCCAGGTGTTCCTCTGACAGCCTGCGCTTTTGTCCCCAAGAGACACCCCCATGTTTCCACCTGTCTGAGTCCTGCCAGACCCACCCCCTCCTGTTGCAGTGGCATCTCGGTCCTCAGAATCTGATGGGGCTCATTTCTCCGGTTAAAGTATAAATTCCTTCGGACGTGGCTGGTGTATTACAGTGTCTCCCAGTTGTCTTGTGCAGAGCGGATGGTGGTTGTGGTAGATCCCTACCAAATTGTCAGTGCTGGATCTCTCATGGTGTTTGCTTACTGAAGCTTGGCAGGGTATGCCTGGGCAGTGCTCCTACTCACAGTGCCCTCATGAAGCTGCTGATCTTAGGTGATTAAGAACCCCTTCCTGGGCAGCACCCGTAGCTCAGTTGGTAGGGTGCTGGCCACATACACTGAGGCTGGCAGGTTTGAACCCGGCCTGGGCCAGCTAAAAAAAAAAAAAATGCCAACTGCAACAAAAAAATAGCTGGGTGTTGTGGCGGGTGCCTGTGGTGCCAGCTACTTGGGAGTCTGAGGCAAGAGAATCGCTTAATACTAAGAGTTTGAGATTGCTCTGAGCTGTGGCGTCATGGCACTGTGCCCAGGGCGACAGCTTGAGACTCTGTCTCAAAAAAAAAAAACAAACAAAAAAACCCCCTTCCCAGTCAGTTCTGGTAATCATGGCAGTGAGTCACTGCTGGTAGATGGCTCCATCAGTCATGATTACCTTTTAAGCACTTTATTCCCTTTGGTTTGTTTTAGGTTGCAAAAATACCATTTCCCACACTTTTAAGTAAGGGATCTATAAGTAAATCGATTTCTTTTATAGAGTGAGCAGTGAACCCAGGCTGTACTCAGAACGTAGAAACAAACAGCTAAACTACAGATTAGCTTTTGGGACACCACCTGTTAGATGGCAAGTGTCTCCATGTTTATTGATCTTTCCTTTTGGCTTTTCTTCTTATTTAGAAATCATAAATATGCAATTGGTCCTGGAATAGTTTGAACTGAAGTTAATCAAATTTAGAAATCCTCCAAATGTTGGCATCTTTTTAGTCTATGACATTCAAGTTATTAAGCTGCCTTCATCTGTATTTCTGAATTGTTACAATTAAAGGGTGTCTTTATTTCTCAGATGATTAATTTGCCCACTGATAATAAGAGTCCTGCATAACTGGGAGGTGCTCTCATCTCAGATTGTTTTCTCCTGACCATTTTCCTGTTGTTTTTCCCCCTCTTTCCCTCTGTACTTAGTCTCTCCCATGGCTCTGCAGGGCTTACCCCCACCCTGTACCTCTGTACTCTGCTCACTGACTAGATGTCTTCGGGTGATTTCCTCTATGACTGTGCCTTCAACTGGTACCTGTTGACAGCTCCTTTCCAAAGCTGTGTCTGTAGCTGTCCTCTTGTGAGCTTGGCCTCTGTTTTTGCCTGTTGGCAAAGCCCCAGGAACATCTCAAATTTAGCCTATCCAAAGCACAATTACTGTCTTCTTCTCAAAACCTAATTATTATTCTGTACATGAAAGGCCATATCCTCTATGTAGTTGCCAGGACAGAAACCTCGTGGGTGTTGAGGTGTGTTGGGTTCTTCAGCAAACAGACTGTGAGTTGAAGATCTGCATGCAGAGAAGGATGTGTGGCATGCAGAGTGCGTGAGGGAGCTGTCCCCTGCTTTCCACCACCGCCCCATAAAAGAAAAGAAAAAAATACACAAACGCTATGCCAAAATCTGTGTACACATTTTAAGAAAACAAAAAACTGTATTAATGTTACAATACTCAATATATACTGCTCATGTTAGTTATCTTATATATTGTAGCTTTGAGAAGTACAGATGTCCCACATAGCTTGAGTATTACAACATTAATATAGTCTTTTCCTTTCTAAAAATGTGCATCCTTTTTTGGCGTTCTTTGTGTGTGCACGCGCATTCATGTGCATGTGTGTCTAGTCATCGTGACAGTCGTTATGTTGAACCTGGATGCAGCCTCAGAATCTTTCTTAACCAAGTTCTCTTGGTAGCTGCTGCCACTCATTATGTTGGCACATGAAATGAAATCTGTCATCTAGATCTGATGTTGTGGTTCACACTTATCTCTCTAGACCTGTAAACAGAAACATCACCAGTATCAGTTGGGTGACACCTTGCTTAGCGAGCAAAGGTGAGCATTTGCCTAGACAGAGGAGAGAAGGCAAGACAGGGAAGGCTGGGAGAGTTGGGAGGTGGGTGGGCAGTGCAGGATCTTTCAAGAGCTCCTACAAGGCCAGCCTTGAAATCCAAGACCTCTGGTTGGTGGGAATATAATCAGTGGAGCCTCAGCTACTGTGCATATTGCAAGGGTACATGTCAAATATATTAATAGTAGAGTATAAATGTCTAAGCACAGCAATTAAATAAGTGAGGTGAATGCTAAACACAGTGATCAAATAAGTGAGGTGAATGCTGTGTTAACCAGTTTGATGTAAACATTCCAAATGGTATATAAAATCAGCACATTGTACCCCATAAATGCAGTAACGTACACAGTTATGATCTAATAAAAAAAGTCTTTGGAGCACAAAAGGTCTTTGTACTAATGTCCTTACCTTTTCCTTCTCTCTTTTGCTCCAGGTTACGTTACAGTGGATATTTTGGGGGTGTTACTGCCCTAAGCAGAGAGCAATTTTTCAAGGTGAATGGATTCTCTAACAACTACTGGGGATGGGGAGGCGAAGACGATGACCTCAGACTCAGGTGAACAACAGAGAGAGGTCCCCTTCACAGGGCTCTGCTATCAGTGGTGGCTCTGGAAACCTGCGTAGATGTAAACTTCCTCTAGGTGCTAGGTCACTAGGTACAGATTAGGGAGTAAGTGGGGTGGAGGGAGGCCCAAATATTTCTTGGCCAGTGGCAGCTTATTCCTGGCTCATGGGTATTTGGGGTCCAGAAGTGTTGTGACAGTCTTTGTGGACTTCTTGGTGGGAATTACTGAGGCAAGATCTCAGTGGTGAGTGTAAAGTCTCAAACTCACATTTTTGTTTGCAAAAATGCAGTTTGCAATAGGGTCTGTTATGAGCCTTACACTTTTCTCTCAGACCCCCGGGGATCCTGGCTCAGCTCCCAGTGTCCAGAGCAGGGAATGCCAACAGCCTGGGAGGAGTTGCAAGACTGCAGGAACGTCCTCTCCTTCTTAGGCATCAGCCAGCCCCGCACACTGTGGGAGCAGCTGGCCGCCTGACTCTCAGGCCTGCCTCTGCGCTGCTGGCATTACCTTCAGATTCTGCCTCTGAGCTTGGGCTTTGTGGCAGGTAGTTATAAGTATCCCTACTTCTTAGAAATAAGTAATCGTTCAAGAGCTCAGGACTTGTATCTTCAGACTTGTAATCACAGGGTCTTTCTGGGTATCAGAAATCCTCCCTTTTCCCTCCTGGTATTGCCTCTTGGGATAGGGTTTGGATTTAATAGATGGATGACTGTCAGAAATTTTCCATTGCTTCAGTGGAAAGAACCGAGGGCCTCCATGCTGGTCCTGTTCCTATGTCTGGGCAGAAAGCCTCTGGCATGTTTCTAGCAGCAGGGGATGGATTTTCTGATAAAGGACCACACAGAAATGGCCATAGTGATGGGCAGCAGCTCTTTGCAGCCAGCTTGCATGGCCGTGCTTGTGAACTGGATGGAGGGTACTCCAGATTTCAGGGTAAGAGTAGCAGAGACTCTGAGAAAGTGACATGAAGGCTGTGTTGACCAGTTTGATGGAAGTATTTCAGATTACATGTGAAGACCCCACACTGTACCCCAGAAGTGCATTGATGTACATAGTTACCATTCAATAATAAAAAAAAAAAGAGTAGCAGAGACTAGCAGTAAACTATCCCTATCATCTTCCTTAAGTCTACTTCACTGCCCTACTGGGGTGAATAGGAGAATTTTGCACTGATCACATATCTTCACTCTTTCCCTGCTACCCCTCAGCTTCAAGGTAGAGGGGAACCCCACGTTTTGCTTTCATTTGATAAGATCATCATGGCCTTCAGAATGGCCGTGACTAATGCTATATATAAACCAGAATGATTTTAACATAAAAGTTGGTTGAGATTTATTTGCTAACTACTTACTTATTCACCTGTGCAGTAAGCATCACACTTTTTTTGCTTATAAAATACACCACAGTTTACAAAGCACGCCCCATGCAGATTATGTCACGTGAGCCAAATCAACTCGGTATCACCATTGCCCTTTGACAATAAGGGGTCAGAGACCTGAAACAATGAACTGGCTTACTGAGGTTGCAAATGAGAGTCCAGATTTGAACCTAGGTTTGTGTTTCTTTCTTGGTTAGAAGAAGACAACTCTAAGTAAATTAGGGATCCTGAGAGAGTTGGTTCTTTTATACTTCAGGATATTTTATAGCTAATACTTTATCAGGTTTTTTTTTTAAATGACTAATTATAAACTGATAGATTTCCCTCCTTTATACCCCAATAGTAAATGTTACATGTGATTTTTTATAGGCTTATTGCCTGAGGTCCTACCATCACAGGAAATTTGAAGTTTTAGACATTTTTCTTCCTTTTTTTAATACCTAAATAATCAAGCTATATGTGACACTGTGTGTGTGTGTGCATGCATAAATTTTTAAAGTGATTCTTTGTAAGTCCCTAGTGGTACATAGGTGGGATGGATTTTTTTTTTTTTAATTTCCTTTTATTTTTCTAGGGTTGAGCTCCATAGGATGAAAATATCCCGGCCAATTCCTGAAGTGGGTAAATATACAATGATCTTCCACACCAGAGACAGAGGCAATGAGGTCAATATAGAACGGTGAGTCCTGGATGCATGTGCCTGGCAAGCTATCCACCTTGCCTGTCAGTAAAGACTATGCTGAATTGGATCAGATAAGCCAGTTCATTTTGTTAAAATAGCTGGGCGTTGTGGTGGTGCCTATAGTCCCAGCTACTCAGGAGGCTGACGCAAGAGAATCGCTTGAGCCCAAGAGTTTGAGATAGCTCACGGCACTCTACCAAGGGCAACAAAGGAAAAAAAAGATTTTGTTAAGGAAATCTTCAGACAGTCACAGAAGCAGAGAGATTGGTACACTGACAGTTACCAACTCATGGCCTCTCCTCTTTTCCTCACGTTTTTCTTCTCCACTTGATTATTTAGGAGCAGATCACAGACATCAACAGATATCACAGCATTTCAGGTGTAAATACTTCACTGTGTATTCTTAAAATACAAGAGGTTTAGAAAGAAGAATTGTAATACCATTATCATAATTAAGAATTCCTCCTTAGTATCATCGAATGTCAGCGTTCAGATTTCCTTGATAACCTCATGGAAATGTTTTTTTTTTTGAAAACGTTTTATTTTAACAGTTTGTTCAGATCCGTATCTAGACTAGGTCCATGTTGCATTTGGTTGATCTCTTTTAATCTGTAGGTTCCCCTCCCCTTCCTCTTCTTTTTTTTTTTTTGACACAGAGTCTCAAGCTGTCGCCTTGGGTGCCCTCGTGTCACAGCTGATAGCAACCTTAAACTTTTGAGCTTAAGTGATTCTCTTGCCTCAGCCTCCCAAGTAACTGGGCTGACAGGCGCCTACCACAGTGCCTGGCTATTTTGTTGTTGTTATTGCAGTTGTCGTTGTTTTAGCTGGCCCAGGCAGGGTTTGAACCCGCTAGCCTCAGTGTATGTGGCCGGTGCTCTACCCACTGAGCTACGGGCCACCCCCTCCCCTTCTTTTTTCTTTTTCCTACAGTTTATTTGTTGAACAAACTAGGTGATTTCTCCAGGAGAATCTCTTACATTATTTTGCCGGTTGCATCCTGGTGGCCTAACTTAATGTGTTCCTCTGGCCTCTGTATTTTCATGTAAACTGAGAATTAGATTCCTGGATACTCAAACAGATTCCAGATACTGTTTTTGGGCAAGAACGTGTCATTGATGGTGTTGTGTACCTCCTCTGGTATCACGACTGAAAGATGTAATCTTTGGTTGTGCCTTTTTTATGATGTCAGGGTTGATCTGTGCATCTTTTGTTAGCTTAATCCATTCATTATGAAATTCCCCGTCAGTTTTTCAACTAATGATTTGAATGGTCATTGATGTTTGAGTCTTAAATTTATTATACAGGGTGGCCATAAAGTTCATGTGCAGTTTATCATGCACCCCCCCCATATAATTAGGAGTGCAAAATTGTATTTTTCTAATTTTATTATTCTTTCTGTGCTTACTAAATTTCTTTACAGAGAAGGTCTTGCCCTCAGTTATTTGAGTACTTGAGGGGACAGTTTTTATAGGAAAGGCAGAATAAAGGGAGAATCAAGCATTGATTAATAATTTTTCAGACTAGCGAGTTGGTATTTCTAGCATCCTTCAGGATGTAGTTAGTATATTTCTTGGCATTCAAATTGTCTCCTCTTTGGGCTGAATCCTTTTAATATAACCACAGTAGTCTTTGAGAGCTTCCTTCCTGTGCTCTGATGCAATCAGATGTTTCAGGCTCATCCTGTACTTTTCTGCCCCAGGAATTGTCCCTTTAACCAAGGAACCCTGACAGGTCAGCCCGTTCTTTATGAGGCTCTGATTGAGGAATCTGTATTTCTTTGTTCTGATGTTTTCCCTTAATTTAAAAATAGTATTAAGGGGACTTTAGCTCTTTTGTTAGCATCTACATTTTTAAACATTATTAAAGGGCTTTTAGCCCAATAGTAAAGGGCTCTGTTAGAGTTAATATTTTAAAACAATATTAAAAAGGTTTTAGCCCTTCTGTTAGAGCTTACCACTCTCGTAAAACAGCTACTTCTCTTTTCTCTGTCTTCCTAGTCTGTGTTCATAGGCATGCAACTTTCTCTTTTCATTAAAAAAATTGTTGAATAAGTTCAAAAGGATACTTCTAAACCATATGAAAGAGTCTTGATACCATGAATACTCCTGCCGTCTCCCACCCAGAGCACTGGGTCCCATCGCCTGTGTGGGCCTCCCTCATCCCCTCTTCTCCCTCTTCCCATTGTCCCCTCATCTCCGTACCCAGGTAACACTTCCTGGAATGTTTGTGATAATGATAATTATTTCTGCTGGCTCTGGATTTTCTGGTCTTCCCATATGCTTGGACCCCTAGACAAAAGATTGTTTAGTTGTGCATATTTTTCAACTCTACATAAATGAAATCACACTGTATCTGTGCTTGCCATTATGCTTCTGATCTCCAGCCATGTTGTCACACGTAACCCAAGTTTATTGCTTTTCACTATGAAGCAAGTAGAAATCTATTTTGTTCTCTGCCCACTTGTCTTCTCAGATTCCAGATTCTTCGTCAGAATGCATCTTGCTCTTTTGTGTGTTTGTGAATCTTGCTCAGAGCGGTCACCCTAGCTGGAGTGTCCTATCCTTCACCTTCCTCACCTGGTGAATTTCTCCTCTGTTGAGCCTTAGTGAAATGCACCTTCTCACCTGTCCCCTCTCACCTGTCACCTCTCACCTGACTCCCTCATGGAGTTGGGTGCCCCTGTTCATCCTTATTTACGTACATTTTAACTTTTTTGAGAGATTTTTATGAAAGCTTTGTACCTTCCTTGCTTACAGACAAAAAATTTTCCCAACAACTTTGGAGTCTTCAGAGACATCCTGAAGCTCATCTAAGGATCTGATAGTGTGGGTGGCACAGGCCTCATTATCCCGGTGTTTCTTGCACATCCTCTGTCCTGTAGATGTTTGCTCACCCAGGGCCATGACTGTTGTCACCTTTGGTTCCCACAATCCTAGGTGGGGTCTGATACATGAAACTTGGCTATTATTGGCATCTCTTACCTTTGATGGGGAGCACAAACTTTTTTTGCAATAGGAAACCCAAGGGGTACAATAATTTTATAAAAATAATTATGCCACATTTGGGGACAAGGCAAAATTCTTATGATTCACTTTTTATTCTTTTTTATCTTTCAGGATGAAGCTCTTACATCAGGTATCCCGAGTGTGGAAAACAGATGGGTTGGCTAGTTGTTCCTATAAATTACTGTCCGTGGTATACAAACCTTTATATATCAACATCACAGTGGACTTCTGGTCTAGTGCATGACCCTGCATCGTTTGGTGACATTTGGGAGAACTGATTACGTGATTGCAATAGTTTTGGCCTAGAGACATCTCTAGTAGCACACATTCAGAACCTGTTGCAGCTAATTATCGGGCTGAATTTTTCCTTTTTATATTTTCTTAGCAGATATGGAATGTAAAATATTTAGAACAAGACAGCTTTCTTAGTTGTTTTGATTGTGAGGGTTACATCTTGTGACGTGGATACTTAAAGGACTAAATGTAGAAGGCAGACACAAAAGATATAATGAAGGCCATGTGAGAACTCTGGTTGGAGGAGATTTATTTACATTTGAAGCGACATATTAGGGAGGGTGAAAGCCTACAGGAAATAAGAATACCTAATGTCTCAGAGAACCAGAATTGTTCTCGCCCAAGAAAGCAAGGTACGAAAATGTGTTCCTGTTACTTGTTTATCCTGCGTGGTTGTCTCTGAAGCTTTGGGGCCAGAAGAGAAGTTGGCTACGAAAGAGGAGAGAAAAGGCAAAGAATCAAGACGAGGTGAACTTGGGAATGAAGGGGTGGCAGGAGGTGGTGGGGGTGAAGAGCAGCAGCTGCGTGCGGTTGCAGCCTCCCAGCAGTAGCCCGGCAGAGAACACATTATCTACTAGTTTTTAAGCACTTTTGTAAAATGATTTTGTACACGTAGGATATGAATTAGCAATTTCCAAATTACGTCTTAACTAGTAATACCTCTATAAAATACCTCTCTAATAAAATATGAAAAAGCTCTGGGTGTTCAAGTCTTATGTTTTTACTGTTATTTGAGGCCTACAGGTATATTCATTTTGATATTTATAATTCTAAACAGTTTAAAACCAGAACAAACTCCCCCACTCTCTCTCTTTCATCCTTGCATTCCCTCCCCTGTTCTTCCCACCCATGCACGACCTCCCTTTGTGGGCCCCAGTCTTGTGGAAGGCGCCTCTGTGTCTTGTTCCCTGGGCCTTTCCATGTTTCTGTCCTCTCTATCGTCTGCGCCTCCTCCTTCTGATAGAGGGAGCAGCAGGGCCGGTGAGATGAGAAGGGATGGAGCTTGCCCTTTAGGGGCCCAGGGCTTGGGAAGCCTTTGATTTGAAAGGATGGTGGAGCCATGACCCTGATTTGGGCAGTGTTAATGATTGGGAGGAGAGAAGGCATCAGTACTCTGAACTTCCCAGGGAGGGGTTGAGCATGGGGGAGGGAATCCAAGGAAGTTAATAGGAGACAGGTACTGGATGAGAACAGCAATAAGAAGATTTTATTTGCTTAGGTGAATGGACACATACACAATGTAGAGTTCGTAGGTAAGTATTGTGCTTATTATGTAAGCCCAAGGGCTCTCAATCATTATTACATAATATCATAACCATTAAACTTTAACATGAATGAGAACCAGCCAATAAGTAGAAATAATGTCTAATCTTTCCCAAGCAGGGAGAGGGAATAGCAGGGTGGGGAGTTACCAAGAAAAACAGAAGGAGTCACTAGCCAAGTGGGGATGGAAAATTTGAAAGGACAATACATTTTACAGACATGACAGGTTTACCTAGGGCTAGCCCAGTTTACCTTTAACTCAGGCCAGGCAGTGAAAGTTGTGTTTTTCCTTTATTTAGCAAAGAAATGCTCAGGGTTTTCATAATTTTTTTTTTTTTTTTTTTTTGAGACAGAGCCTCAAGCTGTCCCCCTGGGTAGAGTGCCGTGGCATTACAGCTCACA